TCAGCAGGACTGCTATGTTTATAAATTTGAATATTCATTATTCAATATTGCATCGCGAACCCTCTGTTGCCTATTAAACTAAGCTTTAATCACGACTATCGTGAGGGTTCTGTCAAGAAGGCGATGGTTTTGGGCGAAACCGGGAGAGGGGAGGGATACAAACAAGGGATTTGGGCAGAGAATAAAAAGAGAAAGGTACCAGAAGAGTGGGAGTGATGTAGACAAGGTTTTGGCCTGCGACAATAGGGGAGGCAACATGCGGCAAGGGGCAAGGAGAGCGTATCCTTAGATCTTCTCTTCTCCCCTATGACTCTTCTCCTTTGCGACTACGAGCTACGAACAAAGGAAGCCTACTGCAAAGGAAAGGAAAGACAAAGCACCAGTTCTTAAATCCACATTTGGATCGGATTTAATAAATTCGAGATTTACGTTGCGTCGGAGAAGTTATCGGATTTAAGCAGACGGACGAATTTAATGGAGCAAAAAATGTGTTTAGTGGATTTACGTTAAATCCACATGTAAATCAAACTTAAATTAGGCGACCAAACACCCCCTTAGAAAGGTGAAATAATTAATAACAATAGAAGCACCTTAACTCCCAATATTAAACTTTTGCCACTGTTATTCAAAAGGGCAGAATAATTAATTAGCAATATAGCATACCAGTTACATTTACTTTTAAGCACTGTGGAGGATGAATGGCTACGCCAGTTTCTGTTCCTTTGGGTCATAATCCAGTTATTTATCTCCTTCAGATGCAGCCCACTTTCCTTGATTAGTTGGGCCTTGTCCTCCTCCTAAGCAAAAACATGAATAATATGTCTCACAACGTAAAAATAAAAAACAAAGGGGGTAATTACATGCATAACATAAAACTTCACTATTTACAAAACTAGAATGTAGGTCATTTATTGAACTATCAAATCGGTTATTTACGCATGTTATAATCAAACCATAAAAAAATTGATAAAAATGAAGATTTTATTGTGAATTTTGACATTTGAATGAGAATTAGTAATACAGATGAAAGAGGGTACTAGTTTTGTAAATAGCAAATTTTCAAGTGCTGTGCATGTTATTGCCCCACAAGAAAAACACTAGCCATCCAAGTAAATAAGGGGATAAAAAGCTAACTTTGAGTGAACTATTGTCAGTACAACTAGTAAGCCATCACTCAAAAGCTTTTCAAACTACTAATGATTCATGATCGCTATAATGCAAATCTGAAATTGAAAGCCTGTATTATATTGGTATAAAGATGACTGCGTGGCTGCTATGAGCTTCAAGCTGTTCGAGTTATTTTCATAGTTTTATTTTAACTTCTGAGTATACCCATCATGTTGACCACTACTGAGATAGGGTTTGTTTTCCAAAGTCTGTGAAATTGGCTAGATTCTTTATATTGGTTTGGTTTGGTTTACCATTCATTTATTGTTGATTTTCTGGTGCAGCAGATGGTTTAATATTGTGGATTTCAATATAACAGAATCCTAAAATCAACTATTTGCAAGATTTGCAAAATTTTAACTCACGGTTAATGCCGGAAACAAAATATTGTGATTGTTGTTTTTGCCTTGATTCTGAGATTTGGGAATTATCAATTGTGTCCAGTTTATTACAAATAGGTCTCTAGGCATGTGAAAGGCATTCAATAGTCTAGTAAAATTTCACAATTACAATTTTTTTTAAAATTGTTTGTTGGATAAAGGTGAATTCTTGTAAGCCGAGCAATTATTGATGATAACCTAGAAATAAACTTTTTTTTTTATGCACCGGTGTGAAGCTTGGATCTTCTTTGGTGATTTCCACCCTTCCTGTTTTTCGACAATATGATTTTTAATTACTATTATGTGGATAATATTTAATTTTATCGTCGAAAAGTTGCTTTATAATCCACATGGGTTAATCTAAACTATAAGCTTAAAGAGCTGTTTTGTCATTTGGAGAATATATGGATAAATAGTACGAATAATTTAAGCATAATAAACAAAGTGAATGTGATGTATTGAAATATCATGCAAATTGTAGCACATTTTATAACTAAGTATTATTTATTTCTGGACATTTTTTGCCACCATGATATTTTTTATGAAAGTCTTAAATCAGAAATAAAGAATAAAATAATTTATAGCTGATCTAATAGCCACGTAAGGCTTTATCCATATCTTTGGATATTGAGGCATGCAATAATCATTCCTTTAGGACTATCACACATGAAATTGAAGTCCATAAAGAGAAACTACTATCTTTTCCAATAAAAATTGCCAAACATAGACAAAATAAAAAATCATCAAAAAAAATTGAATTTTATCAAAAAAATTGTAGTTTGTAAATATGATTTAGAGGATTGAGAAATAAATGCTAGAAAACATGACCACACAAAATCTTATGGTATATTGTGACAAATGCTTGTTAAGTAAAAATTTTGATAAGTTGTGACATTATTGCAATTTTACGTTTGATAAAACTTTATTTCATTAACATGCTATAAATGGCATGAATTCTTATTATTTTTTTCTTTTTTATCACTTGTTTGCCAATTTACATCCAATACTTTATCAGATATATTCACTCATATTGTTCCTAGAACAATCTTAAATGATGAAACTAACAAACTTATGAAGATTTATTAATTACTTTACAAGAATTACAAAATTAATAAATGACAAATATCAAATATTTAATCAAACAAAATAAAAAATTTTCAAGCCTGACAAAATAATGCAAATCTAAGATGTTCATTGAAAATGCAAATCAAGTGCATTAAACTGAGCATATGGTTATTCTGTAATAACAGTATTTTGTGGGCTCCCCCGCATGCTAATTATGTGAAATTAAATGTTGATGGTTGTTGGCATGCTAACTATGCTGCGGTTGGGGGTTTGTTCAGAAATTTGGAGGGGAAATGCCTTTTCTTTTCGCTTCCCCT